GTGAAGGTATCGCACCTCAGTAACAAACTAGAACAGCTGTCAGCGGGCTTGTTGTTCATCGATGCCATACTAGACGCTTTCTAAAATCAGAGGTTTCCCTTCCTCCCCAGTAAAGGGCCTAGAAACTGGCAAAAATGCACGGTAAGTGGGACCCCAACCCTCCAGAAGCAATTTACGTTCTTACCAGGTTAAAAAGAAAGCTTACCACTTTCTTCAAGTTCTATTGGCTCTGCTTCTGAAGCCATTTCTGCGGTAGAAGCCATCAGCCTGTTTCGTTTCCGAACTCGCCTAGAATTAACTGCTCCTCCACGGCGCTTTCGTTGAGCCTAAGAGGGGACAGAGCCGTAGCATTGTCGTTAGCAGTAACATTAACGTGGCCCTCATCTTGGCGGCACCAATGAAAGCACGCGAGGAGACACAAAACACTCCCCTGAAAGGCTGTAATACGCAAAGAATGGGGGTATGGGTCATTCCTACCCGAATGCATCGCAGCAAGGAAAAGACATCACCCCAGATCTCCTACTCTTTGGGTCACAAAGGAAAAACGTATCGTGACGGTTTGCAAGAGAGAAGACTAGTTCACAATTACGTCAGACGTTCGCTTCCAGCCAACCACTGGAATCAGTCTGACCTAAGGTTTTTGCTCGCACCGTAAGCATTTCTGAACTATACTAGCACCTAGACAGACTGAAAATCTTAAGTCTCACAGAGCATGAAGGTACATGACGTTTGAATCTGCTTATATGTTCCAATGTGTTTACTACAAACTCTTAAAATCATTTCTAGAAGTACCATAAAGCACACGTTTTAAGAATCAGGTTTGCATTGAGTAGTACAATACTTACTGTGCTCATAGTGTTTCTTGATCTAAATCCACAGAAAAAGCAAGAGGTACCAATACCATAAAATTAATTGCAAGGAAGCTACAACTATCAAATCCTTATATTCCTTTAGGTCGTACACTGTCAAAGGTCCAGATTTCTCAGTGTCTGAGACCGACGTTCTTCCAAACCTGCAGGAAAAGAAGGGAGAAGATGACCTATCTGTAATGCTCGTTCTCTTGAATACACCCTCGCCAAGATTCCCATTCCCGAGTCACCAGCTCCTATCCCAAGCTAGAGGGGAAGTCCCAGAGCTTGGTATTTGAGCCTCAGACACCTACAGCTGGGCCTGAAGCCTCAGTCATTCTTACCCGCTTCCTAAACTAAACACCAGAATAAGCTAGTTTGTTAGCAAACTAGAAAAATACTAAGGAATCCCAATTAAGTTTAACTGAAAAACAACGGATTGAGGCAATGTTTGTGTGTGGGCAGGAATCACTGGGAATTGTGTCATAAGCAACCATCTTCAGGGAACACAAAATTCCAGATAAGCGGTTCTCTTCCCCAACCCGTCTCCAGATTCCAACAGGTGGGAGCTGAACAGCTTGAGAGGAATCTAAAGCAAGCGGAGCAGAGAAATTTCAGCTTAGAAATACTCGTGGATCTGCAAGAGCATACGAGTGTACGGTAGCTACTCTGTGGTAACTGTGAGTGTGCATGCTCCTACCCACCAGACAGCGAACTGCTACGTGGGAAGAGGTGAAAAGCAAGTATAAAGGCGGTTATGAGCATCTGACACGGTACTGAAGTTCACACCTTAAAGCTTGCTCCTGGTAAAATTATCCTGTGTCCAACACACAATGAGGAGCTGGGGGGGACGCAGCGGGGGGACCAGGAAAAAAAACCAATGATGTTAAACAAGAACTGCAGAACTATTTCCCGATACTGACCTAGATCTACGCTTCAAAGACCAGCACACATGCTATTAACCTATTCTCAGATTAAGAGAACTGAGACCATGCAGTGGGATGGAGTGGCACTGGTAGTTAGTCATAACCTTGAGTTAAAGGAAGCCTGACTGATTTTTTTTCCTCTTAAACTTTCCCTCTGTATTTCTTAAATCAATTACTTTCTTAAGAGACCCATTAACACTGAATTGTGACATTATTAAAACAAAACATGCTTGAGAAAAATCCTTACACTAAATTGGGTACTTTTCTAAGCCCAAAGATATATTTATGCACAGTTTTAAGCAACACAATATGCCGCTCATCAATTTTCTCCCATTTTTTCATTTTAAAACTGGTACTGGATTGCAAATGCTAAAATGAAAATCAACATGCTTTTTTTTTTTTTTTTACTTGGACCACTTGCTATTTGCCAGACTTAATGATCAGTGAGCCCACAGGCAGATTCTAGTCACAGCAGATGAAATTTTCAGAACTGTTATGCATAACTCCCTCTCCCAATCAGTTTTGATAGTTTTAAGATTTTTTAAGATGTTTTTTAAAAATCTGAACTTACATGTATAGTTACCCCAGAGTTTTTCTTGCAAATGTGAGCAATAGCCTCATGTTGTCACCCGGGATGTTGAAGACTAAGGCTCAGAGTTTGCTCCCTATCAGAGAAAGCCAGGAACTGACTTTCAATCTCCTGCTTCCTCAGTACAGGACTCACCTACGCAACCATTTTCATAACATTCTGTGTCCAGGTAATGCGAGTTCTCTTTGCACACTTCACCCCACTGTTCTTACAGCCTAGATTTCATTTCATCTGTTAAGGAAGAAGGCTTTTCTGCCAGCCCTACCAACATTCTTGGGAAGATCCTATTTTACTCACTTCACTGAATTTTTGGAATAGGGAACAATGCCTAATTCTTCACTCGTACAAAACAAACCAGACAGACTGTTCTGCAAGCACATTTTCTAGGTGCTATAGGAGTTTCTCTCTCCATAGGATTATTATTCATAGGTTTGGTTTTGGAGCTTTTTGGAGACAAGGGGAAGAGGGAGGTGAAGCAAGAAGGAGGACACACAGCACGAGGGATGGGGGAAAGGGAGAGAATCATCCCTAAGCCTAGCACTTCTGCTCTTTCAAACTAGTTGCTCAAAGACAAGCTACCATCTTCATCTACAGCTACAACTGAAACTTAAAATAACTTGGGCAAAGCAGTTTGCTGCACACAGCAGAAGGACGAACACAAGACTGAGCAACATATGAGGTATATTAAGAAGTTATGCCATTAGATTCTTTATAAGCTTATTTAATCAAGAAAGCCAAGAGACATTTTCCATGATTCTCCTCAGATATGGAATTGGAAAAAATACTTGGACATTAAAAGCTGGGAAATGCTAGCTGGTACACACATCTGAGGATTATAAAGAAATAAACTTCATATAAGCTTACTTTAAATTACAAGTTGTTGGAATTGTTTTTAAATAGAACCTGTTAGAGCAATCTGATACACTGACGTATCTGCACTGCTGAAAGACAGCAAAAAACAAGCCTGATGTATTCACTAGACAGCACAGTTTTGGATGTAAAACACCCAAAAGGTTTCACAAAGCTCGGTGCTTTTCAGATTTAACACTGAATACAACGCAGTGCAATGGTATGTTGACAAAGTATCTTTAGAAAGGGTTAAAAGTACAGGGGGGACCAAGCACCTGGGATGACTCTAAACATAAAATGTTGCACAGATTCTCTTTGGCCACAAGTGGCTTAAATACCGAAGAAGAGCTATCACAGAAGAAAAAAACCCAAAACCAAAAAAAAAACCCCAAACAAAAAACAAGCAAACAAATTTGAAAATTAAGGTGACAAGAAAACCAAAGTAATACACAATAGAAGACCCGTCATGCTAAGACCAGCTTACACACGTTAAATATTTTCACACTTCTTTACCAAGATACCAAGGAACAGATTATTTATAGGGTTACTACGACATGTCTCAGAGGATCTAATACCAGACGGAGCCACTTCTCGAACTAAGTGACAGAAAGCACCATTGCTATTTAGATGGGTTAATTTTCAGAATCTTACAACATCGACAGTAGGCTTTCTTTACAGTTAATACAGAGAGTATACATAAGGCACAAGTATTCTAGCTGCTAATGGCTCAAATCTTAACCTCTTCAGAAGCTTCTTCTGAAGAATGAAGTTGAGAATGGATACCCATAGGGAAGCTCATCACTGTAAAACCACCTTAAAATAGATCATGATAGGCAGACTCATCAGTACCAACACGACCCAGCTCAGGAGAGTCATGTTTATAAAGAAAATCAAACTGCTGGAATTTATTAAGACTATGGAAGGAGTCTCATGATCCGGCAACATTTTTTTCTTGTAAGAACAAACCTCTTCTGTGGGGCTATAGGTTTCCACATGTTATTGGCTTACTCAGGAAACATCATTGGAAGTTAATTACCTGAACTGTAAGAATGGGCAGCAAAAATAAAGCAAAGCTTAACTTTCTTGAATACACCACATATCAAGTTAGTAGTGCACAAGAACAAAGGTAAACAAAACAGTTCCAAGCTTTGCACATTTAGAGACATATTCATCAATAAGAATTCCTTAAAGATTTTCAAAACCTCAGGACCACTCAATTTAATAATATGATTTGTTATACAGGACTGGATAGCCCAAATTAAATGATAAAGTCTATATGCTCCTCCTCCAACAGTCACTATGAAACCCAGTACCAAGACTTCCAAGACTGGATAATAAAAATAGAGTTACTGCATCAACCTCCCCCCCTCCCCAACCCATAAGCATCAAATAACTCCAGCTGAAGCTGTTAGCGAGCTCATCTATTACACCTGTAGCAAGATGCATTCAGACATCAATTCAAAATTCTAGAATTAAGATTAAAAAAACCCCAGCTTTTTTTTAATGTGAAAACTTAGCAGATCAACTTAGCAAGCCAATAAATACTTTTAACATTTAGACTTTTTATTGCACCACTGCAGGATGATACCATACCAGAAAAAGCCACTCCCCCTTCCTCTCCTGCGCAGAGCTCTGCACATACGGTTATTGTTCCTGTCATTTAGCTCTCCCAAGGGTGTAAGTAGCATTGTCCTCATAACAACAAAGTTCAACGTTTATTCTAGCTAACGCACTAGCATTTTAAGGGCTATATCCACCAACCTTTCTCTGTACAGATAGATACTTGAGAAAAATAGAGGTAAAGTCATCTAAATCAAGAATGTTTACACTAGGAGTAAAAGAATATTGATTCCCATATTCATCATTTAAGCCTCCTGTTAAATTTTCTCCTCTATAAAAAAGTCAACATTTTCACTGAGTTCAAGTTGACCTAATTTAACATTTGAATTACAAATCAAAAAAAATGGCTTTTTTACCATGTCTGACTAACACAAACAAGACTTTATTTCATAATCATCTTAAACATTACAAATACACTAAAGTAACTACTTGAAGAAAGCAATAATGTCAGTCTAAATGTTTGGTGTGCGCAAGGCACAGGTGACAAAAACAGTATACATTGTATTTGTCAAAATGTTATATGCTATACCTTTAAGACTTTGCTTCTCATTTCCACTCTTAAGACCTCTCTTTGCACTCCTAACAGGAAAACACAGTATCAAAGATGCAGCATGTATTAAAAAGATTTCTGTGGTCAGAAGATGCACGTACCAATCACAAAGTACTAGTCTTAAAATTTTTTATCACAGGGAACAGTAATCTGCCATTTTACTCTTTCAAAACTTTCCTACCATGTATTTCCAGCACCTTTAAAGACGTTCTCATTTTTTTCAGATGCACTACGCCAACTTAAGTGTAAACAGAAGCTGAGTCTATTATGTTTTATCCAAATTAGGTCAAGCAGTCCCATACTACAAAAGCTTGGTGAGAGGCACTATAAAAAGAGTAAAGATGAGCAATAAACAGCCTATCATAGAGCTATACCAGCCTGCCTGCTCTTAGCAGTCAGCTACATCTACAGACAAATAAGACATATATTTATGAGCAGCCTAACAAAAAAAACCCGAACAAAAAATCAACAACAAAAGCCAAATCCAAAACAAAACAAAGCAGCTAAGAAAACACCCAGAGAACAAAACACAGCCAAAACTTTCAGTTGGCCAGATGTCCTATTTCAGAAACAACAAAAAAAGATTAATACTGTCCGGAAGAAAAGCTCC